TTATACCCTTCGTTACATTTTGGGATAAAAAATGCCCCTGTTGTTATCCTAAGAGACCACAAATACCCTCAAGAGTTAACACCCCAATTTTTTAGTGACGTGGCAAGCCACATGGGACTAATCCCTCCACCTAAGCATTGCCAACTAAGATTCACTACAAAAGAACTTGACTTTTAGTGGCGACCACAAAATCCCAAAATATTGCCACTAAAGGTTATGAGTGATTTTTAGTGGCGACTAAGGCTCCAACAACCATTCGCTAGTAAAACCTATTTTTTCAACAAAAAAATATGATAATTAATTTTCGATTGCAACCTAATTTTCTAAAATAAATAACTTGCAATATCCATATTAAAAACATCCAATATTATTACGAAAAATAATCAAAATTACTTCTCGATTCAAATCTCCTACTATATATATATATAATGCATCATTGTACATTTTATACATTTACATATGACATAAAAATAAAACATATAGTGTCTTCAAACTCCTACTTAATCGATATCATATTTGGTTTTTTAAAAACAATGAAGAAAAAAACACAAAATTAGAATTTAATGTTAAAAACTTTTAGTGACGATTTTCTGGGCTTTTGTGGCGACTGTTGTTGCCGCTAAAGGTCTAGTTCTTTTGTAGTGAATCCTAGTTGGCAATGCTTAGGTGGAAGGATTAGTCCCACGTGGCTTGCCACGTCAACAAAAAGTTGGGGTGTTAACTCTTGAGGGTATTTGTGATCTCTTAGGATAACAGCAGGGGCATTTTTTATCCCAAAATGTAACGAAGGGTAAAATGGTCTATTTCATATAGTTCGGGGGCAATTTTGACCCTTTTCCGTAATAAACCTCATGTTTTGTACTTTAATATAGCATCATTACGAAATGTTTAAGACAACAAGTTCTAAGTATATTATATTATTGTTATATATCTCGTGAGATTTCACCTAGGTATGTTCAGAAACGTCCGATAGGCCTAGTCATGGCCGCCTAGTCATTAAACTGTGCTACCACATTACCCCCATTGACAGTTTCCAATCAAGATTTAGTATCAGACTTCATAAAAGAGAAGGCCAAACACCACCCACCCATGGATGTGGTGCAGCGGATGGGGTTAATCCTCCCCTAACCAAAAATCTCGGATTCAAACCTTGGATATGAAAAAATCTTTAGTAAAGAGCGCTTCCCCCAAATGAGCCCTATGTAGCGCGAATTCAAAATAATCGGGCTCTAATGCGGATAGCGGACATCAAATGGGAAACTAAAAAGAAAGAAGGCCAAACTTTTAAACATCAAATCCCCAATTGGAGTGATAGGAAAAGCCAGATTTTTTAAAGCTAATTAATATAGAAAAACTAATAAGGGCAGAATCACTCTTTACAAAATATTTCACTTGCCAGAGGGTTACAACTTACAACCTCACACTCCACTATCCCAATACCAAATGCTTTCCTCTAGTACATTATTATAACAGCCAACTATAGCTTGTTGTCAAAGACCATTTGGAGGCCTATATACTCTATAGCCATTTACACCACCAGAAGACATGTTTGAGTAGTCAGGGACATTGTACCGGTAACTTGGATCATTTTCTGCAGTCCTCATTCCAAGAAAAGATGGATCAGAACCCATCATTTGCCACTGGTTTGGTACTAACCCATCAATCTGCCCACTTATAAATCGTGAATTAGGCTGACGAATCATATCCCTTGCACTGTCTAAAGGGCCTTCATAAAAATTATGCTGGATGTCATCATGATAACTCCGTGTTCGCTCAAACCTACTGGAACTTGTTGAAGGACCTAAGTCAGTGAACATTCCAATATCACCAGGGAAAGAGGAATGCCGATTCAGATG